AACTGTTAAACTGATTACGGCTTTTTCTCGTTTTTAAAAACTTGGGCTAAAATATTTGTGCTTGTTTCGCTCGGGTATGCCTCTACTTAAATATGGTGTCTCTAGTTAAAAGTTTGGGACTTGTGTCGTTTGCTTAAAATACGGTGTTTCGCTCGGGCATGTCTCTACTTGTTTAAAAGTTAAATTCTTTAAACATTTCGGTTAAATATAATGAGCTTACATGCATTTTCTTTTAAAATACAATGTGTATGCGCTAGCTTACATTCAGTCTACTACACGCTTTATTATTCCTTAAAACGTAATTAATAAATGTAACCATTGTTTTAATACAAGCTTTAAATTACTAATTTAAATTTTAGCTAGGTTGTGGGGGAACGGGGGTGGGTGGCTGGCCCTGTCAATCATCGTTGGGGTAGGGGTATGCAGCTGGACCTGTCAATCATTGGTGATGACGTCATAGAAGGGGGGAGCTTTAAGCTCCTCCCATTGTACCACATAACCTCTCTTCTGATCCTCCTGTGTGCCACGCCCCCCTCATTTACCTCGTCTGGAATCCTGGTGTTCCCAGCTGGGTCTAGTTGTTGTTCATTAGTCCTGTATAGTTAAATTTGTCTGCATTCGAGTGTTTCCCTGTCCAGTCATTAACATTATGTTGTTATTGTATGGTCCTGCTTCTTTCTGCTTCAATTAAACACCTCATTCTCCCGATTTTTGGAGTCCTGTTCCTGTTTCCCCAGTTCAAGCCCTGCAGTACATAACAAAATCTTGCCTAGGCCATAAAATTGGTCATGGTCAGCACTGCCGGTTGGCTACTACTCAGGCTGACACACAGTCCAGTCCCACCCTCTGGAAATGGCCATCTATCTGTTGCAGCCAGGTGTTACGTGAGTATTCCTTGGCCTGGTCCAGCTGCTTCGGTCCTCAGTAATGAGGATCCTCAGAGCTGGACCACCCTCAAGGTATCAGACCACGTGGCCATAGTACCGTAACTGACACTCCCTTACAATGCAAGTAATGTGCCTCATTTGGGACTCCCTGTGTAACCGCTCATTCGACAGATAGTCAAAACAAACAGCGGGCCCTATTTTGCACCAACAGAAAGTGCGACGTGAAGTGGTTTTGCTAGTTTCATACCAGCACATTCCTCATTTTCATGCCTTGCACACACGTCGTCAAAACAGCAAATTATTTTTCGCCCCTTTCCCGCTCTTAGGAGTGGTGTTTTGTAAATGAGGGATGGTTGGGTGCGTGGTTGACGCTTTGCTATTTTAAGGCAGAGAAATGACAAACAAAAACCAGGTGATGGATGTCTATAGAACATAAGTGAGGACAAATAAAAGGATGCTGAACTGCATGTTCCAATGCCAACAAAGGAGTGTATACCAGTAGCAGCATGGGAAAGGAGGGATGAGCTGGTTTAAGAGCTTAATCGTCTGTAGCCTGATAAAAAATCTAAATTGTGAGATGTAGAAAAATATCCCTATTGCCTGTTATTTAAGCACCTTAAAAACTGTAGGTTGTTTTGTTTGAACAAAGATTGCAATTTATTTATATTTTGCGAACAGCAGACCCAAAGTTAAATAAAAAAAACTCAAAGCATAATTAAGTCCCTGTTCCCAGCCACTGTGCTACTTCAGCAGTGAGCTCTTGCTGTCCCTGTCCTCTGACATCATTATACCGTTTTTGGCACTGAGTGAATGATCTGGTGATGCCAGAAAACGACGACACACTCACTGCTACCTCATCACATGCCTGCTTCACCTCAAAAGGCTTAGGTGGAACTGTGGTGGTCCCGTAGATGATATGCTCACACCATTTCACTTTGTGCACAAGCACATCCGTTTCCTTGGGGAAAACTGATTTTGTTTGGTAAACATGCTGTTAATATAGCAAACCACCCTAGCTCATGCGCTGCTGCCTTTTAAAGGTCATGTAACATGTCATTCTGCTTGGTTCATTGCATGTTACACCCAAGTCACATCTGAATAATTAAGAGAGAGTTAGGACAACCTTCTTGCACCTTGCACTGGCGCTAAGTCTGGTTTTTCTGCCGTCAAAATAGCAAAATGAATTTGGACATGCCAATAAGTGTTAGTTGTGCCTTGTGCTTTACACTTTGCATTAGATCATCAAAAGAGTGCCCAGTGTTTTTATTAAGTATTTTGTAGCAGTTTATGAATACTCAGAATGTCAAAATGGATATAGCACAGAGAGGGACAGAGGGAGAGAGCAAGCTGCAGATGGCTGTTTTATTTCAGTGGTATTAAAACCAAGTTAGTTAAAATAATGCTGAGCTGTTTTATTCAAGTGATGTGTTGTTTTTGAAGGGGTGTGTGGGAGAAGCAGAAAGATGTTACGTTTGTACCTTTGTGATTTTGTATTTATCTAATTAGGCTATTACACTTCTTGCCTGATTCTTATGTTGTTGTCATTGTGCCTATATGAAATGTTACTGACGATATTTCCTGCGGTATTAATAGTAGAATGTTTTTCCCATTAACCCTGTTATTGACCACACTGCAGTGCACTTACATGTATGTGCGCACATGTGACTTGGGAAGTCGTGGTGCACACTCAAAAATAAGGCTCTCTTGAAAGGCACTGTGTAATTTGAACCCTGGTAAGGAATGTAAGAAATTTAAGACAATGAAAGAATGCTCAGTAAGCACCACGAAGGAAGCAATGCCCTGCGGGACATGACAATGTGACAGACTTCAAAGATAAGGATTAAAAAGACAACATCAAACTCTTTGTTCCCATAATATATCTCTTAAAATGAAATTTAAACAATGTTACATGCTACATTTTACAAAATAGTAGTGCATCTATCTTTTATAAGCACCTTTAAAAATTACATTATTTAAATGTATTAAATGTTTTTTAATTTATTATATATATTTTGTATGAAATATACAGTACAGATGAAATTAAAGAATATTCCATTTTGGATTCATGTTTAAATTTTCATCCAGTACAGGCTCACTGGAAGCCTGTGCCAGCTAGCTCAAGGTAGTGGGCACCCAGGACAGGATGCTGATCCTTTGCAAGTATAAAATATTCACAAAGTACACAATTAAACATACTCATTTTGGTGGTTGTGGGATGAAAACAAAGCAAATTCCACACTGACCACACAGATAGGGCCACAAACCCTGGGAGACTGAGGATGCACTGCTAGCAAGTGAGACATTATGTCATGCAAGAACGCCATCCACCTGCCAACGGCCCATCCTGGACAAAGTCTTGGGAAAGCCTGGGGCCTATCCCAGGAAGCATGGTGCATGAGGCAGGGATATGTCCTGGATAGGATACTTTGCACAAGCACATACATTTTTAGCTATTTAGAGAGACGCCTTAGCCTCACTGCATGTCTTTGAACTGCAGGAGGAAAGTAGAGTTACCCAGGGGAAGCCCACACAGCTCAGGGAGTACATACAAACTCCACGGAGCAGAGGTGTGATGAATAAATCGCAAACAGTACTACATACTGCACCACTGTGGCACACCACCTCCCCGGCCCTGTCTGTAAAACCAATTATCCATTTATCACTTCACATTAAACAATTTGGTCGATATACTGATATTTTTACTGTTTATCTTTCTACCAGCAATTCTACAGTTGTTCAGTTATAATTCCAAACAAAAACAGGCAGCATTTCTGTTTCCTAAACATACAAGTAGCTTCCTTCCTTCTGATAATCCAAAGGAAAGTTTAGATGTGTCAGCAAAATATAAGCTGCCAATTTAGTCACGAACAGGCTTCTGCTCTTGTTCCCTAAGTCCACTGCGTGTTGTAATTCCAAATTTTGCAGTGCAGAGTAAAAAATTGTGTTGGTTAAGCCTTTATCAGTACAGATAGAAGCTATGGATTGGATTTGTTCATTAGTTTGTGAGAGATTGGAGAGTCAGAGTCACTGCTTAGAATGAAGAATTTTATATTTTCCCCCTGAATGGCACTAAATTATATATTAAATATAAACAGTTTGAGTACATTTTGCAGTGGTGTATTTTGTTATGTTGCTCCCTTTTTGCGTCCAAAAAGCAACACTTCACATTACATACAGAGTTACGCAGAGACCGGTTGTTGTCAATGTGCGCACTTGCACCGTGCTTCTTTTATTTTTAATGCAAACCAGAACGCTACGACTTACACATGCACATTTGCTTTGCGCCATCTACTGGTAGAACCCTTAAGAACATATTTTCAGGTTCATACATAACANTATTACTTTTTAGGGTATTGTTATGTTGCTTCCTTTTTGTGTCCAAAAGCAACACTTCACATTACATACAGAGCTACGCAGAGACCGGTTGTTGTCAATACGCGCACTCGCAAGTGCTTCCTTTATTACATGCAAACCAGAAGACTACGACTCACACATGCACATTTGCTTTGCGCCAACTACTGGTAGAACCCTTAAGAACATATTTTCAGGTTCATACATAACATCCCTCCCCACTAAGATTGGTTGTTAGTAAACACAAAACATTTACTTAAGAAAGTAATTCCTATTTGCACAACATCGGAGATACATTTATTTTTTTTTTTATTATTATTATTAACATTAAATAAAAATGTTAATAAAATGTTTTTTTTTCCGTATATATATATATATATATACATACATATACACTTCTAAGTTTCAGAACTCAAACATTCGTGAATAACAACTATTTCCATAGGCTCACTCATCACGGTACCGTACTGGTGGTTTAGTAATCCTCACAGGATAGCGTCATACAGCTTCTGTTACCTGTGTGTGTTCCATATGTGGCATTTCAATGGATTGTGGTATTTTAGTGGTTGCCTCAGGACCTTGAGCAGTATCCTCTTTATGGTGAGGTGTACTAGGGTTAAGTGTGTCGCAACAATCACTCTGCGGAAGTAGCAACGGAGGACTCACAGGCATGTGCACTACAGTCTGTTGAGGCACTGACTCGGAACGAGCCAGCATCTGGTCCACATGGCGTTTCCATACCCCTTGTGTTCCTACATTTACCTTGTACGATACTGGTCCAGTTTTCTCCATCACCACCCCTTGTGTCCACTTATCCTCCCCCTTCCGATAATCACGCACGAGAACTGGCATCCCAACCCCAAACTGTCTCTCTTTAGAGTGTTGGAGACGGCGTTGCTGTTGAGCGCCCTGTGACTGGCACACCGCTCCAGCCACACTGGGTTTCAGAAAATCCAATCGAGAACGCAGCTTGCGTCCAACGAACAACATAGCTGGCGTCTCTTTTGTTGTCGCGTGGGGGGTGTTGCGGTATGTCAAGAGAAACGTATCAAGACGTTGTTGCACCGGCATTGCTCCTCTGGATGATTTTAAAGCATGTTTGAACGTCTGCACGAAACGCTCCGCCAAGCCATTGGTGGCAGGATGGTATGGTGCTGAACGGATGTGTTTGACACCATTGGACTTCAGGAACGTGCCGAATTCTTCAGAACAGAACTGAGGTCCATTGTCACTGACCAGAACGTGTGGAATGCCATAGCGACTAAAAAGGCCCCTAAGCACCTGTATGGTGTTACTGGCTGTGGTGCTGTCCATGATGTGCACCTCAGGCCATTTGGAATGTGCATCCACAATGACCAGATACATATGTCCTTCAAATGGACCTGCAAAGTCCACATCAATCCCTTCCCAAGGACTGGATGGCCACCTCCAAGGGTGTAACGGGGCTAGACCAGGGTCTTTTTGTACACGCTGACATGCGTGGCAGGCTCTAGCTTGAAGCTCGATTTGAGAGTCGATGCCAGGCCACCAAACATAACTGCGAGCCAAGCTCTTCATTCTCACCACACCTGGATGTGCTGTGTGGAGCTCTTTCAGAACACTGGGGCGTAGTTTAGGTGGTACAACCATTTTAACACCCCACATGAGGCATCCCTGTTGTGTTGTGAGATCGTGGCGGCGCAGAAGGTAGGGCGACAGCTCTTCACCCATGTCCTTTGCCGCTGGGAATCGACCAGTGGTCACCATTTCCATAACACGAGACAACGTGGAGTCAGACATGGTGTTACGTCTGATCTCAGTGTCACTAACTGGTAATGTGTCCAACTGAGATGTGTTGAATACTTCCACTGCCCCTGGTTTCTCAATAGGAGTGTGAGGGAGCAGTAACCTCGACAGTCCGTCGGCATTGGCATGCAATGCACCTTTCCTATATTGAATGGTGTAATTGTGTGCTGCCAGGAGGAGCGCCCAACGCTGCATTCGAGCTGCAGCCATTGATGGTGTACTTTTCATTGGACTCAGAATGGTTGTTAACGGGCGATGATCAGTGAGTAGAGTGAACTTATTACCATAAAGGTACTGATGGAACTTGCGTACTACGAAGACTATTGCCAATGCCTCCCTCTCGATCTGAGCATAGTTTCGTTCCGCTTTGTTGAGAGTTCGTGATGCGTAGGCTATAGGTTTTTCTTCGCCATCAGGCATGATGTGTGAGAGCACAGCTCCGACCCCATAGGGTGAAGCATCACAAGCAAGGCGAAGAGGCAGCTCAGGATCGTAGTGAGTGAGAACTTCCTGCGATACTAGTAGGGCTTTAGCTTCCTGGAACGCTGATTCACAAGATGATGTCCACTGCCACTTCTTCTCTTTATTGAGCAATTCATTCAATGGTTTTAGAACAGTGGCTAGATCAGGAATGAAGCGTCCATAAAAGTTTAGCATCCCAAGAAACGAATGTAGCTGGCTGACATCACCTGGTGCTGGTGCTTCCACAATGGCACGTACCTTCTCAGGTGATTTGTGAAGCTCAGCTGCGTCAATGATATGGCCCAAGTATTCCACAGACTCCTGGAAAAACAGGCACTTCTCTCGTTTGAGATATAGGCCATATTCCTCTAGCCTTCCCAGGACAGCATCCAGCGTTTTTAGGTGTGTCAGTTCATCAGGACCACTAACTAGGATGTCGTACAAGTAACAATGAGTGTGCGGCAGTCCGAGAAGTACTTGGTCCATAGCTTTTTGGAATAGAGCGGGAGATGATGCTACGCCAAAAGGTAAACGATTGAACCAAAATAGTCCTTTTTGTGTAGATATTGTCAGCAGCTTCTTAGAGCTCTCCTCTGCTTCCATCTGAAGATAGGCATTTGATAAATCTAGCTTACTGAAGCATTGGCCTCCTGCTAGAGAAGCAAACAAGTCCTCAATGCGTGGAATTGGGTACTTATCCACGCAGAGAGCTGGGTTAAGGGTGACTTTGAAATCCCCACACAGTCTCACTGTGCCATCCTTCTTGCTGACAGGCACTACGGGCGTGGCCCAGTCACTATGCACCACTGGTGAGATTACCCCAAGCTCAGTCAGACGCTTCAGCTCAGCCTCCACTCGCGGTCGAAGAGCATATGGCACATTACGTGGTGGGCAGAATTTTGGTACACTGTTAGGTCTTAGGGTCAGTCTGGCTTTAACCCCTTTCATTGTGCCTAACTTTTTAGAGAACACAGCTGAGTGTCTCTTTAACACAGCCTCTAAATTGTTTGTTTGTCTTTGCTCAATGGCATGCACAGTCTTTAAGTCTCTCCAGTCCAGTTTAATGACTCTCAGCCACTCCCTGCCAAACAAAGGTGGAACATCCACTTTCACCACGTACAAGGGCAAAACAGCACGTTTCTTGTTTAATTCCACTTGCACTTTAACGACCCCTTCTGGTGCCATAGGCTCACCCGTGTATGTCTTTAGCATGATATCAGTGGGTAGTAGAGGCAGCTGGCTCAGATATCTTTTATACTGTTCCCAAGGAATCAACGACACAGCAGCCCCAGTATCCAATTCCATCTCCATTTTCGTTCCATTAATTAAAGGCATACGAGAATATTTCCCTTTTTGGGACAAGGTATATAGTCCCAACTCACTATCAGTGTCTGATTTAGTTTCTTCACTTTCACTTTCCTTTGCTTCCATATGATGAATTTTCTTCTTTTTATCTTTCACACTGTGTTTAATTGCATTACCTTTCTGTTCAGGCTTCCCCTCTTTCTGTTTATGTTCTCTGCCTTGCCAGTTTTTGGCTTAACTCCTACACATTCGCTTCGTGTGGCCTTTCCTCCCACACTGGTGACAGTCCCGGTCTCTGTACCAGCAGTTATCATCAGTATGATTTGTTCTCCCACAACGGCTACAACTCTCACCCCTTCGCGGGAGCACCGCGTTCACTGCTCAACTGCTGTACGTCACGTGCTGCCGTCTCTGCCGACACAGCATGATCGACTGCTTTCTGGAACGTGAGATCCTTCTCAGTCAAAAGACGCTTCTGCACCATTTCGCATTTTAATCCACAAACAAATCTGTCTCTTAGTGCGTCTTCTAAGTAACCACCAAACTCACAATGTTCAGAAAGTCTTTTAAGCACCGCTACACACTGTGCAACAGTTTCTCCTTCCCCTTGATTTTGCATGTGGAACCGGAATTGTTCAGCTATAACGAGCGGTTTCGGAGCAAAATGGGCTTGCAACACAGCAACAATATCTTCATATATCATTGTACCAGGCCTCGTAGGAGCCACCAAACTGCGGAGTAGGCCATACGTTTTAGGTCCCATCACGCTACACAGCACAGCCACTTTCCGTACGGCCTGTACGTCATTAGCCAAAATGTAGTGCTCAAAACGTTCAATATACGTTGCCCATTGCTCACCAGCCTCCTCAAAAGGATCCATATGCCCGATTACTCCGGTCATAATGCGTCTTCCCTCAGTTGCACGCACTGCAGCTCTAGATCTGTCGGAGGAAGAGAGGCTCCTCTTATCGGAAAGCTAGCTCCCTAGCTGTACTTTACAACGTGGGTGTTCGCTTTCGTCCAAACTTGACCAACACTGGCATTTCTTGCAGAATCGATGACAAGTCCTCTGGACTACACAACTCGTCGCCAATTTATGTTATGTTGCTCCCTTTTTGCGTCCAAAAAGCAACACTTCACATTACATACAGAGCTACGCAGAGACCGGTTGTTGTCAATGTGCGCACTCGCACCGTGCTTCTTTTATTTTCAATGCAAACCAGAACGCTACGACTTACACATGCACATTTACTTTGCGCCATCTACTGGTAGAACCCTTAAGAACATATTTTCAGGTTCATACATAACATATTTATATGTACACATTACAATTGCATACAGTAATAAACAAGTGATTAAATTATTTAAATATTCAGCTGACTTATTTTCTTGCAGTGTTCTTAAAAATGTCTGCCAGAAAATAAAGATTAATAAATACAGTAACTTAATTACATGGGACTCTGCTGTTAGCTGGAGCTAACTAATTGTTATTACCAGCAGTGATGAAGACTTACTTTCTTGAAAAACGTGCGTATAGGCATGTTGTCTTGCTGTGTGCAGCATGTACGCTAGTGTGTCCACAGGTGTAGATGCAGCGGAGTGTAAAGTAGCAGTGAAAACGTGGACTGGATTTTCAGTAATGTGGGTGTTCCCTGTGAACAACTGGAACGGATTGGATAACGAAGCACTGATGCTACCTTAACAATGTAAAGTGAAAGGAACCAACAGATTTATGATCATATTCAAGTGAATAGTGACAGGTTTATATTATTATTTATTTAAACTCATATTCCTGAGTCTTTATATTGAATTTGTCTGCAATTTTTGTAAAAATAAAAATAGAATAAGTAAAAAAAAAAACTTGAAAAAAAAACACCAAATTATTTAGGGGGGCTTAAGAATATTTTATGGAGGCTTCAGCCACCCTAAAATAGGCCTAACGACGCCACTGGTAGAAACACTGAAAACTCTTTTATTTTTTGTAATTTTGATAAAATACCAGTGTTAGAATAAAATATACAGACATTTAGGAAAAGTCAGGGTCCCGTAGTTACGTGGGTTTTATTTCAAAAAAGTACTTGCATTTTAATATTTAAAAACGGTCAAAATGACCACCTTGGTAGTTCTAGTGGTAAAGTGCAACAGTGATTACAGTGTTTCTGTGCAAAATTGCAGTCAATCAGGTAGATGGGAACTGAATAAATATGTAAAAGGGGGGATTGTTACTGGGCATGGGGGGGGGGGTCAAGTGCAGATTGAAAGACGGGTTCCAGGGCAGGGGGGCGGGGGGGGGGGGGGGGGGGGGGGATAAAGGGCAAAATGCCGGACCAGGGGGTGGGGGGGGGGGAAGGGAAGTCTGTGAGTTGAGGAGTTGAACGGCCCTGGGAACAAAAGTCGCTCCTCCTTTGTGTCCTGCAGCTGGGACAGTGGACCCGTCATCCTGAGGGGAGCCATTCATACTCCAGGAACAGAACATGGGAGGGGTCCAGCAGAATCCTGCATGCTGCTCTTAGAGTTTACTGCTCCCACAGGGATGAAAGTGCTCTGACCAGCAGTCCGATGATCTTGGAGCAGACTTTCCCTATGCTGTGCAGACGGGTCCTGTGCTGCAGACTGGTGGAGTAATACCAGCAGGCAATGGAAAAACAGAGGACACTCTCAATGAACGAGTAGTAGAAGGTAGAAGTACAATGTTTCTGCAAGTGTTCTAAACTGCATTTTGCAATGTCTATAATTTTATGTCAAATTACAAACTTCACATAAATGTGACATATTTACAAAGTACACTAACATTAAGATGAGTTTGTTGCCAAACCAAATATATAAGAAATAATTTATTTGCCATGAATTAAGTTTATGATATTGAATGAAATGTTTGACCATTCCCCAGTCAGTGAAAGTGTGTCCCCTACCCCTAGACTCCAGATGGTTAACCGCCGGTGGGACCGAACAGAAATTTCAATAACTCTGCGAGATACGCTTCAGCATCTGAGTCACAACAGAGTGATTGACTGATTTGCCACTCTTAAAAACAGACGGCATTCTTTGATGCTTCCACCCACCAAGTAACTGGTGATTGCAGCCATAAAAATTATGTACTTTATTTTCAGTTTTTTTCTTGTTGTTAATGCAGCAAACACGTTTCCTGTGTTTTCTTGTTGTACTGTATTAAAAAACAGACTGAAATAAAACAACAAATCTATTGGTGGCCTAATATGTTTAATCTGTCCAAAAAAGTAATCTCACAAAAAAGCAATTTCTCAGTCTTTGTTTTCTGTTTGTGAAATTTTGTGCTCATGCGCTGCGTTTGTTCATATCGTGTGCATTTCTTGGGGGCTAAGCCCCCCCTGTCCATAAAACCTAGTTACGCCCATGGTTTCTACCTAGAATGGCCATAGCGGTCATTTTGACTGCTACCGCTTTTATTGACCGCTGTATGTATTATACGTGTTATGTCAGCGTTTGCTACTTTTTCCCGCTACTGGAGATTTGCGCCACTGTTGCCTAGCAATTATTAGTTATTCGCATCCTTTCAGACTCTAGCTTTAGTTTCGTACTAAACCCAAGAAAGAAGTCAAAATGTCATCGAGAAGGAGAATGACTGTGGCCAAAGTTTTATCTGAGCTTCAGACACTTGATGAGGCTGAGTCTGAGGGAGGAGCAGGATCGGACACTGAGAGCTCCTGGTCTCTTGAGGGCTCGTCTGACGCTCCCTTTGAAAGTGATTCAGAAAGTGTTTCAGAGAGTTCCTTTTGTAATAAAAGACGGCTTGGCTCTTCCAGTTCAT